AGCAAAAGATCTCCAACACCACAATCCTACAACGCTTCCTATATTTTTACATTTTTTTCTATTTAATCATTACTTTCCTTGTTTAAAAAAAATTTACTAACACCCATCTTTGGATGAATCCATTGGGTCCACATGTCAAAAGTTTTGTAAATGATAAAGGAAATAGTGTAAGATTATGGTATAGGCATCGACAGATTTTGTGGCCCCCACTGGTTCCACCCTGGATCGATAATATAATATTTAAATTACTTTAATTATAGTAAAAATTTTAAATTATTTTTTACTAATTATAGTGTACTTTTGACTTTTTTTTTTTGCTTCTTTTGGCTAAGTAATTACATTTAGTCACATATTATTTTAAAATCATAACAAATTTTTTTTTAGGTGAACCAGGACGGTACCTGGCGAGCATCTCCCCGATTTTATTGATAATAAAAAAAGAAGTACACATGCAGTGCTTAAGACTTACCCAAAGAAAAAGAGTCTGTCGTTCATAGATTTGCTAAATCTCATGACAGCTCTATGTTTAAGTAACTAAGATGATGCCTTACAAAGATTCCGCCATAATCCCATGGCATCACTTTTTCAAAACAAATAGAAAATTAAACTAAGAGAGCGTCTTACAGAGGTCGAACATTAACCCCATGACACCGCTTTTTTCCTCTAGTAGGAGCCTATTAGCTAATCTAAACTAGTATGAACCTAAGGTAACCATCTAATGCACAAGATTCCAAAACCTAGATACTATCTGATTCTGAGATAGGGAACATATAGTCTGTCCAAATGAGCTTTCCCTCTTACTGAGGCTGGAATATCTGATGGACAATCATATTTTCTTGTGGTTCCCTCTGAAGCCCGCTTAGCGAGATCATCTGCTACACTATTTGTCTCTCGAAAAATATGAATAACTCTTGAATGCAAGAGGTTCAACATGTCTTTTATTTCTCAAAAAAAACATGAGAGAATCTCCATGGGAAACTCGTTCCTTTTTGAAGGCAAAATGCGATGACCTTATTGTCCATTTGCACTTCAATTCGTTGCAGTCCTTTTTCTAAGCAAGCTTTCAGACCATGATATACCCCTGCAAGTTCTGCTTCTAGACTTGTTGCTATGCTCATATATTTGCTTTCAGCTGCAATAATAAACCGGTTATCGCCTCGTAAGACATATCCCCAGCCTGCTTCACCTGGTTGCCCCAATGCAGATCCGTCTTTATTTAACACGTACCCTCCTGGATCCGGTGGTTTCCATTTAACAATTTGAATCTTCTTGTTTCGTGGTCTTTGCACTTTCACATTGAAAAGCTCTTCCACTTCTTTTTGTTCCACAAGAGTCCTTGCCTGAAGCTTATGCACACTCAACAGATTGGAAATATTAGTATCAATAGCCTTAAGCAATAGTGATAAAGAAAAAGAAGTACCTTCGTAGACCGTTTTATTCCTAAGTTTACAGACTTCCCATAGTAAAGACAAGGGTGTCACCATTATAATTGATTTTTATGCAGTCGTGAAACTTCCTACAGACTGCCATGCTTGTAAAAAGCTCCACCATCCAATATGATTTTGAGAAACAACTCCCAATTTGACAGCAAAATGTTGCCATGCCATAGCTATTTGCGGACAACCATTGAAAGTATGATCAATACTCTCTTTCGCATTTTGGCAAAAAAGACATTTCGATGGATTCAGCATGAAATTCATTTTCCTCAATATTTCTGGAAAAGAAAGCAAATGATTATAAAGTCTCCATGCAAAAAATGAAATTTTCAATGGAATAATTTTATTCCAAAAATTGCTTAAAAAAGGTAAAACTTCTCTGGCATTGCGAGTTTCATTGTAGACGGACGCGATTGTGAATTCTCCCATTATCGATGGAGTCCACACAAGTCTATCACTTTCTTCAGTGAAGATAAAATCCAAAGTGCGCAGCTTAGAGATTGTCTCAGGTTGCAACAGTCCATCAAAAACCTAAAAGAAAAAGGATTTAGAGTGAAAAAATTCCCGGACTGTTAGGTTTAAAGCAGGTGGAAAATGTTCTTCATTCCAGATTGTGGAGGACTATATCCATCTGTCGAACCAAAAGGATGATGATCCATCTCGAATCTCAATTTTTGATCTCATCAAAGCTGATTGATTTACACGTTGAATTTTGGACCAACTTGTCTTCCCTTTTGCCGTGTTGGATAAAGAACTAATAAAATGAGCCCAAATTCCTTTTGCAGTCGCCACTTCCACCACAGCTTTAAAGAGAAAGCTTCCATAACATCCCTCAGATTTCTAATATTCAGCCCATTTTTGGCGACTGGAGCAGTTAGATGACATCAAGCACGCCAATGGTTCTTATTCCCTTGCTCAGTTTCACCCACAAAAAATTTTGGCATTTGCGTTCAAGGGCAGCAATTATCATCTTTGGAGGCTCCATGGCAGCTATTGTATGCATTGGTAATGCTGAAAGAACATGTCGATGTAAGATCAACTTCCCCCCTTGCGATAACTTTGCATCAAAAGCATCCAAGAAATGGTGAAAATATTCATTCTTCTTCCTCCCTTTGTAAAGCTTACAACCCAAGTAAGTGAATGGAAGACTCTCCTGCGGCATGTGAAGCATTTGGGACACCAAGTGGACATGTTCCATTGTATTCTTTTCTGAAACATAGAAGCAACTTTTCTATTTGTTAATTCGCTGTCCAGTAGCTACTTCATAATCCTACAAAAAAGAGTTCAAAAGCTGCATAGAATGTGTTAGTCCTTTAGTAAAAACAATAAGATCATCGGCAAAACTTAAATGTCACGGCACTATTGCTCCAGATGGCGCTCCATATGATGCAATCCGCCCTTTTTCTGTGAGAATTTTCAAATTTCTGGTAAGTGCCTCCGACAACAAGATAAATAAATAAGGCGAAAGAGGATCGCCTTGTTTAATTCCTCTGGATGCCTGAAAGAACCCTACTAGACTTCCGTTCAACAGAATAGAGAACCAGCTTCGTTCTAAATTTGACATGACCAATCTCACAAAATGCTCATGAAACCCAAACTTCAAGAGAATACGCCTTAGAAAAACCCAAGAGACACGATCAAATGCCTTCATCATATCCAGCTTTAAAATAAGATTTCCACCTCGAGATGGATGATCCATGAATTGCAAAAGGTCTTTTGTCATGAGAATATTATCAATTATGTCTCTTCCCGGCAAAAAGGCAGATTGCTCATCAGAGATCAAGGAAGGGAGTACACTTTTTAAACGTTCCGTCAACAACTTTTTGAAAATTTTGTTGAGGAAGTTACATAAGCTGATTGGACAGAAGTCGGCAAAAGATGTAGCAGTCGCTATTTTAGGGATCAATGTGATTATGGTGCTTCCAATTGCTCTCGGTAACGGAATGCCATGCATAAATTTCAAATAAGCTTCCATGAGATCCTGATGTATTATATGCCAGCAATGATGATAGAAGTCTCCTCCAAAACCGTCAACCCCTGGGGCGCTTGAAGGATCAAGACCGAAAACTACCTCCTTGAGTTCCTCAATTGTTACCGGTTTTATAAGAGATTGATTATCCTCCATGCTAATAATTTCAGGAATATGCATCAAGAGTCTATTACTTGCTTCCTCCTGATCATCCATCTCCTCTTTTGTTAGAAGTTCCTTGAAGAAAGATACTGCTTCTTCTTTGATTTCGTCCTTCCACGTCAATCATGATCCCGAATGACCTCTGATTTTATGAATTCCCAGCTAAGTTTTTATTTCAATCATAGACGCATGGAAGAAAGCTAAATTAGTATCTCCCTCATGAAGACATTTTTGTTTTGATCGCTACTGCAAAAAATCGTCTTGCTCTCTTAGTTTTAACAATAAATGAGCCTTCGATTTCTGAAGCTCAATTTTGTCCTTTACAGCGCCAGTCTTATCATAGATCCCCTCTCTGATTTGAACTTCATTCTCTGCATCCTTTATGTTTTGGAAAACGTCTCTGAAATCACTCTTGTTCCAAACCCTCAGCCGCACCTTCAATCTTCTTAGCTTCATAGAAAATTTTACCATACCAAACATACCAAGTGGTTACCACATCTAAAAAAATTTCACAACGGATCCAAATTTTTTGGAATCTGAAAATATCTAATTTTGTCGCAACATCAGCCTGGAATTGATGAAGTAAGGGCATATGGTCTGAAGTGGTTTGATTGAGATGATGCAATGAAGAAACCTGAAAAAGAGCTATCCATTCTGGATTACGGTCCAGCCTTTTCTTGACCCTGTCATTTTGTCGATCACAAGACCAAGTGAAGAGATTGCTTATAGGAGACAAATCAGTTAAATTACAGCTACTTATCCATGAATTAAAGTCCTCCATTGCTCCTCTCTCAGGCTCTGAATTCCCATCATACTCCTCCATATTCCTGATTACGTTGAAATCAACTCCTCCAGCATTTTGATCATGAAATTCTTGTAATTCTGTCCACAAAGCTTGCCTCTCTTGCCTTGTCGACTTTGCATAAATTGCCGACATTAAAACTTTTTGCCCAATCTTTTGATTTTCGACTTCCAAATGAAGGGTTTGGTCTGATCCTCCCAGCAATTTTGATGCCCATTTTGATGAACAAAGAACCCAAATCTTCCCATTTTCAGAACCATATACATCTTTAAAACCAAGCTGATTTTTTAATTCCTCAATTTTTGATTCCTGTAACATAGGTTCCAATAAAACTATAAAAGAAATAAAATGTTGTCTAACCAAATTCCTGAAACGTCGTCGGGATGCCTTGTTCCCAACTCCGCGTATATTCCATATTAGATTATTATTCATTGGAAAACTTGTGAGGTGAAACGCCATTGAGTCTCATAGATTTACGAGTTTCGGTTGATTGGACTGTCTCCTTTTTTGTAGATCCTTTTGGTCGACCAATTTTAGGTTTTCCATTTCCCTCTACATCAGAGACCACAAGACGAGCAAGCTCACATGTCTCCAAACTAGAATTAGATACAATCACAAAATCATCCTTTGCTCATGTTCTCTCTGCAATCGACATCGTAATGCGAATCTCGTCCACATCTGAGTCAGATTCTACCTCCAATGCTACCATCCCTTTAGCACGATCACCATCCATATTATCCTCAGTATTGAATCTTCCCATATCTTTTTCATCTTCATCATTATCCTCCTTCAAATCATGCAAGACGTTGAAGCGTGAGACAAATCCACCTGCGGAATGAATAGCGAGCTGCTTACAAATGTTTGTCGCGGGGTCAATTTTTTGGTGATGTTCCTGATCTTCCGAAGTATCAACCTTATCCCCGTCCTTTCGGTTCTCAAGAATAGTTTCCAGTTGCTCTTTTGAGATTCATAGTTTTCCAGATTAAGGAATAAGGGGGCTTTTATCTGCAATATCAATTGGGGCTTCACATTTCTCCTTCATTGACATTTTTATGAAAACGCATTAGAAGTCAATTCAACCTGAGTGTCCCTTTCATCATTAGCTTGGGGCTTCTGTTTCCAGTTAGTTTGAGGAACAGACGGTTGCGATTTCATCTTCTCTGGCACCTTCAGAGGAGCTTTTGGTGCCGGAATTGGTTGCACTTTTGGTTTCACGCCACGGCAACCATGTCCCACCTTTTTGCATTCCGAGCAATATTCCAGCAAATTTTTGTAAGTGATCTCTTGATAATAAGATTATTCCTCTTTCCCAAGCAGTACTCGTTGCGGCAATTCTTGGAGCAAATTAACCTCGATGTAAACCCTAGCAATCGACGGACACGAAGAGTTCAATGTCGGGACATCTATTTTGAGCGGCGTACCAGCGATGTTTACCAATTTACTCAGGTATTCCGCATTAAGTCGATGAAGTGGCAGACCTTCAAATGCAATCCATACTGGAACTATGGATGACTCATGTTCAATATTGAATTGGGGCATCCACTTTAAAACGATCATGATATGGTGATCAAAAGACCACAGCCCCTTGATCCAACATTGGTGATTATCTTCTTCTAGATCGAAAAGAATATGAATGTGTCTGTGATCAATCATACCCAACGAATAGCTTCCCTTGAATCCAATCTTTTGAAATTGATGCCATAGAAAGTCCATTTTTGGCCTCCCTTTCGAAAATTTTCCAACCAACGAAGCTTAAAAGGGGCCGCAAAGTTTTCATCCTCTTCTTTCGGTAGCAGCAACGCGGGTTCTCCCTTGTAGATTGAGGGTTTGGACTTAATTAAAGGGGATGAAGATTGCTACTTACTAGAAGGATTGATGATAGTTCTTGGATTAGTGTTTGAGTTGTTCAAGATTTGGGCGAAGGAGGGCAATTTTTGCCCGTTATCATCCTGCGGCCAGTTGGCCGCCATGAAGGGAGTAGGGTTTCGGACAAAAGGTCTGGAGAGATGTGAGAGCGTTTTTTCCTAGAGAGAGAATCAGCAGAAATTTCATAGCTTAACGTTTCAAAACTATTAATCTAAAGCTCTTAATTTTGTTTAACCAAAACATAATTATAATAATGAGACTAAACTTAATGTATTCTATTACCTTAATAGACTAACAAATTTTTCTTATGATATCATACTAATAGTAACATTCCATTAAGATGTTTTAGTTAAAATAGAAGAAAAAAACTTCAAGGTGATAACAAAAACAACTTTTTTCCAGCTTTAAAAAAGATCAAATGTTATTTAGTTTTAGTTGAATTCAAATCTCTCGAATAAACATGCATAACTAGCTTTGTGCATTGACGAAAAAATAGTATTTCATATTGAACTAATTATATATACACAACGTCAAAATATAAAACTCATAATTCACTTTAATAAAATTGGCATTACATTTTTTCAACATTATGTTTTGGCTCCCAGTAGATGTTAGTTCTACATTCGCTACTGGGTATAGAAGATCTTTTGCCTTGTAATAAATCCTTCCAAAGTGACACCATTTATTGAGGTACTATTGAGCATGTATAGTAATAAGAACAAATAATACATTCATTTTAGCAAGTGATCAAGAGCGTATAGTTGCGCGCCTGCCTAGCTCTCACTAGGTCTCAGTAACAGTTTAGCAGGTGATCAAGAGCGTCGATTTAAAACACTGATTTGAATATGGAGTATATTACATGTCTTGTTTAGAATATCTTAAAGTACAATTATTTACATTTATAAACTAACACAAGTCTACAATACAAAGGAACAACTGAATCCCGATAAAGCTAGATTTCTTGAAACGCTTAAAAAAATTGATCTACCATGATCCTAGTCCAAGAATCTAGAAAAAAAGGTATACGTTTAGTGAGCGTATGCTCAATGAGGTCTTACTGTCTACTAGCAATTAATCTAGGTGACCATATAGTCAAACAAGTTGTCATAAAACGCGAATATTAAAAGCACATAGTATAAGGTTTAAACATAAGCTAGGTACTAACTAATATTAAAAATCAGTTTCAGGTAATTGAACTTGCTACCATTAGCCATAATGGACTTGGAAAAACACATAACATGTAATTTAGGAGGTTGGATAAGGCTGAGTACAGACAGGATCCTAATCCAGGCCTATATAGCCAGAGGATTGAATTCCAGTCAAACTCGAAAAATAGAGAAAAAACAAAATTTTAAGAATAGCGGCATAGATCTATGCGCTTTCCGTCAACCAAACCCAATAGTAATAGTAACAGTAGGCTGTATCTCGATATTATACCTTACAGTAACAGTACCTTCTAATGGTCTGTCCGATACGTCTTGGCCCTTTGCCGACACGTTCGGAGCCAACACAACTAGCAGAGGCATGGATCCATGACTCACCTGTATAATAACATGCACAAACAAGAGTGGCACGATAAATAATCGTTGAATATCTCATATACAGAGATGCGTGTGATAAAGTACACACGGTCTCAGAGAGAAACTATTGAGCAATGAAGAAACGATCATCACATATAATATAAGTCAAGCAGGACAAGCATCAAATAGTCAAACCAGATTTCAGTATCACTTATACAGATAGTCAGTTACCTGGTGTGATTTATTATTTTTTTTCAAAAACAAAAAAACAATTTTATTAATAACAAAGGAAAAATAGGGCAGCGAATATACTAAACCCTATATCAAATACAATTTGATCTTAAAATAAAGTTGAATCTTTCTTTAATCTAGCCGACCGACGAACTTTAACCTTCTTTTTAGCCTTGGCTTTTTTCGAATGATTGTGATAGATTGGAGCAGAAACTTTACTGTAAAAGGATTCTTGTTCCATTGCGTATTCCATATCAAAGTCGTCGTCATCAGAACCATTTGAAGCATCATTTAGACCGCCTTCAGAATTTATTCTCCAATCAAATAATTTCGATTAAAATGCTCAAAATTCTTTCCTAACTTAGTATCATCCTTGGACAAGTACAATTTTAGAGCCGTGATTGGCAGTAAAACCTCTAGCAAAGGAACTTGTGATTGAGAAGAGACTAATTTTGGAGCATTGGGATTTAACTTTTGACTGGGGTTGATATTTGAGGAAGATATTCCTTCCTTATATACGGGACTTGATTGAGACTTATCCTCATTCAAATTCAAACAAGCCGAGTCAACAGCTTCAACATTCTGTTGCGCAGATAGCCGCCGCAAAATCAGCGAATTTTCCTCCGATGGCTCAACGTTTTTTTATTCCGGCGATGAGGAGTTGACTCCGTTACTGGTAGCGACGATTGAATCTGAAGATTGATTCTCCATATCATTGGTATCTTCCTGAGAGGCGTACTGATTAGAAGAATTTTGTTGATCTGGAATCATCGGGTTCTCTTTCATTGTGGGGTGCACAGAAATTCCTTGTTCAACAACGACTTCATCGGGAGTTTCTTCGACCTCCAGTTGTTCAGAAATCATGGGTAGTGGCGGGCTATCATGGATGTCAACTGGAATCCCAATCTTATCCGTGACTGTTAAACCCAAAGTTCGATCCTTCTAGGGTTGTCATAGGGCGCGGGTTTGCTTCAGACGCTTTGAGTTGCACTAAAGGCTGGAGATCACTTCGCTAATCAGTAGCGACCCGGTGGTTGGGGAGTGTTGCAGCAGGCTGGGTTTGATCAGTTGTGAAGTCTGGGTTTGTTGCGTTGGAAGGGGTTGCAGCAATAGCAAAGGAGGCTGCGACGTTAGCATCATTAGTAGCTGAAAGCAGGAACAGTGGCGCATCTTCTGAAGGCGACTGATTTGATTCAGCAACCTTGTTTTGCAACGGCGGCTTTGAAAAAGTAGTGGATGGTGGATTGGCCGGCTGTTTTGATGGCCAGATGGGCATCGGATTGACATCGACAGAAGAAGAGGCATGATTTCCTCCCTTTTTCGGATCCTGTTTGGGCAATGCTTGCTTATCCGATTGCTGCCTAGTGAGATGCGCTGAATCAATTTTCTGTTGCGTCACCACTGCCTTATTGTATCGACAAGGATTGAGATCGTGCCCAATCTTTTTGCAATCGACTCAATATAGAAGCATATTCTCATACGGGGCTGATTGGAAATATGATTTGCCTTCAACACATAATCAGATTCGGATGGGGATGATCCTTAAGAAGATCAATCTCGACACAAACCCGTGCCACCGAAGGTCATGACATATTAAGGGTTGGGGTGTCAATTTGAAGATGCATTCCAATGATACTTGCAAGCTTCCACAAGTATTCTTTATTAAAGTGATGGATAGGGAGGCCTTCAAAAGAAATCCAAATCGGGACTATAGAGCTTTCATGCAATGGATTGAAATCCGTTGTCCATTTGAGGACTCGCATCCGGTGTTTGTTAAAGGTCCATAGACCTTTTAACCAGTAGCGGTGATAATCTTCCTCAAGATTGAAACAAATGAGGACATGTCAACTAGAAGATTTAAGATGTCTCGTATTACTGTGTAATTCTCATTTCAAATATTTTTTTCAGTCAAATTTGCATTGGATATTAATTTTTTCTTACTATCGAAACATGAGTTCTTCTCTCTTTTACCTACCGTCTAATTTAGTGTTGAGTGAGCCCTCAATAGTAAAATCCGGGTTCCGCCACTGATACCGAGAGCAGAAAATATACATTTTCGGTTTCAAGTTATTAACCTAACAAGTTACATGCATTTAGTTAGACTTTGAGATTACTCACCTCGGTTTCCAGGGGTCAATAGCAGTGTCTGAAAGAACCAAGCCTGCATCATTTTCCTAAAATTAATCGATACACATGCAGATTGATATTATGCAGGTTTCATCAATTACAAGAAATTTTAGAGCTAATTAAGTAACCTACAATGGATTTTGACTTTCTCCCAACTAGCATGATAATTCTACTTTCAGAATGATGACCTAAGCACTTATTTTATCTTTTAGTTTTTGCAAAAAGAGAGCATTACTATGCCCATCTATATTCTAACTACCACTATGCTTCCTAAGACACTAAAATAGAACGAATTCTGCTCAATCACTTGTCCAGTCTAGCAGTCCTATTTTATTAAATTTTAAGACAACTCGTCATCACCGTTTCGCTAGCAAAATAAATATCAAAACACTCCAGCAGACTCGATTCATCACTTTTAGTATTTCAATCAGACAACCACCTCAACTATCGTTACTTCTAATCCAGCGTTAATCAAGAATAAACCCGGGTTTCCATCTCGAAGTATTAAATCACAAAGATGGAATTAAACTTACTGATTATAAGAAGATGAGAGTCAGTAGTTAGTTCTTAGTTCCATGCCATTGACGAATCCTCAAATCTAATCTCCTTTCCTTCCAATTCCCTGCTTCCCTTTTCTTCAAATCCACCCGACTTGCCACCTTAATTTTATTTCAGGTTTACTTCCGATTAGCTTGAAGTGGAGCCACAATTGAAGAGTATGGAAAAAAAAAAAAATGGATTGGCTCGTTAATGAATTTATTAAGGAAATAAGATACTGATCTCCCCAGATTTGTTCTACTTATTTGGTGTTCAAAACGAAGGGAAAAAAAAAAGGAAGAGGTTAAGGTCGGCCGATGGTAAAAATGAAGAGAAGACGAGGATGATAAAAGGATGTGATGATGAAAATGTTGATTCTGGAAGTTTACGCGGCAAAAATCTTTTAGAAGGGAAATGGAATTTGATTTCTTCTTCTTTTCCCTTCTTGAATCGGTTGGAAGCTAAAAAGAATAAAAATAAAGATGGGGTTTCTGGAAAATGAGTTAGGCAGGAGGAATTTTAAAACAGTAAATATATTTGGATCATTTTTTAAGTGTGTTTTTTTGTATTTAGAATGTAAAAAAAAAAATATTGGAAATGTAAAAAATTATGCAGGGATGGTACAAATATTAATTAAAAATTCTGAAAAAATAAAAAAAAAAAGAAAACAAACATAGTAGGTTCAAGCAATGTTATGTTGGTTAGGACATAGAAATATTATTAGAAAACGGATTTGGGGCTTTGCTTTTATAGTCAGATTTGCTCATTTAGCTAGTTAGGCCAAAAGAAATAAATAATGGACAGCGAATGGAGTAAAAGAGATTTTCTTGGTTTCTTAATCTTTAATTATCAAAAAAATACCATAAGTTGAGGTTCTGTACTTACAATATATTTCAAGTTCAAATCATCTTTATTAAATGTCATAAGTTGTAATTTTATTTTTTCTGCTTTTCCGGCCAAGAACGTTGTAACGGTAAACAGGTTAATTGTTGACTTCTCAAAAGGGTATTTTTGCCTTTAAATAAAAGTAAAAAAAAAAACAAAAAAAGTTTACTTTTATTTTTACATCATTTTTTCTATTTTTTTCCTCTCAATTTTCCTTTTTTATTTTATTTTTATTTTTTTGATAAAAATAAAAATAAGTATGATTTAAATTTAATGCTTACTTCATTTTTCTGTTATTATTATTATTATTATTATTATTTCTCTCTCTCTCTCTCTCTCTCTCCCTCTCTCTCTCTCTCTCTTTTGCAAAAAATATATATATATATGTTCACTTTCAATACAAAAATTTGCATTATTTTAAGAGCTAAAATGTCCCTTAATCTTCCATAAAATTGGTACAGTATCAGATATACAGTTCTGAACCACCTGATGTGTTGAGTTCAATTCGAATACTATGAAAACTCCATCAAACTGCACTTCACAAAGGGTGGAAAAGCAAATATTTCCAATTCCTCAACCAATATGGATACCACAGAGCTGACAAAATCCAATGAAATTAACAAGAAGTTCTGTGATCTTATATGTGCTATGTCAAACTGCTCGACATTTGATTCAAACTAGTAAATAAACAAATCAATCAAATATCTTTCAAAACTGGTAAAGATGCCATTTCTTTTTTCCAGTAAATCGAAATGAATTGCACCACAACGAATCCAGAAGCGAGTCAAAATTCAAAACGTCAAACACTTTATACAGTTCTAAGATTCAAAGATCCAAGGATCAATGAGGAAAACAACAAAAAAAACCCAATTGAAAGGGAAGCTAATCAGACCCAGACAAAAGAGTCATCTCTAATATAACCATTCAAAGCCTAATGAAATTACAAATCAAACTTATGATATTTTTTTAATAATTACGGGGTTTCTTAATATTGGTTGGCTTTTCTAATCGTTTGCTGAAATGCAAATTTATATTTGGCAGACAATTTCCATCAACAAGCCTAATCTCCATCTATATTTTTTTTCCTATTTGCGATCAAGAAATTAGACATGATAGAAATTTTAGAGACTAAGTTATTTATTATTCCTAAGTGAATCCTAATTTCTTCATCTATAATTTAAATTGTTGGAGCATTTCCTAACACATACAATGCTAGCTCGGGTAGGGAGTGGCAAAATTGGCGGTCCTCTCACATACATTTTATATTTGTGTTAAAAATTATTTATTTTTAATTAAATATTTCCAAGTGATCTCGTTCTAGTTCATTTTGTAATAAACCCTTCTCAAATGGTTCCGTTTATTGAAATACTATTTAGTATATCAATTAATTAAAATAAATCATACAAGCATTTTATATAACCATAAGAGATTACACACTTTTTATTTGGTAACAAAATTTATTTTTTGTCCGTCGATTCCAAATTATTCCATTCTAATTGATCATGTAATAAATCTTTCCCAATTGGCTCCATTTGTTAAAAATTTAGGCCGCCAGGCGGCAAATAACTCTGGCCCAAACAGCATGAGCGGCGAGGTTATATGGCTCAAGCAACCAGGCAGCCATAGATACCGTACTTTATAAAACTAGGCGGATAAGTTGGCGACCTGGAAAAGTTAGCCGCTAAACACAGCGGCTCAATTGGCCACGGAGGATACCAATTATGATCAAAATGCTGCTGGAAATGGCGGGCCAAAATGAACCAGTCGCTGAACATAGCGGCTCGGTAGGCATGGGCCGCCATTTTCAGCAGCTCGGTCGCTTCCAGCGGCCAGACTTATCGGCTTTTTTCGGGCGCTGGCCATTTTCTTTTTTAATTGTTTTATACTTCTAAATTACTCATTTTAAATTGGAAAATTGAAAAAAGTAGAGTGGTAATTTTTTGAAGATCTACAAACCAATATTCGGCGGTCTGTAACACTCCCCTATAAGTATGATATGATTCAAAAGCTATATTTGAGAAATAGCAACAAAATGTGGACCCATGGTATTGTTCGTATGATTCGTTGGCATTGCGTAGTTGCAGCTGTCGCTCGGACAAACTGTTAGGTGTATCTTTCTTTTAAATAATGGGGCTAGGCTACCTAACGGCATTTTTTTTAACACCAAATTTACAGTTGTTTAGTGCCTTTTTTCGATTCAATTGGACGAATGTCTACAATTCAACTCTATTTTTTTTTTTTTGTTGGTTAAGTAAATAAACATTTGAAAGGCAAAATTATGTATGACTCCAACTCATGAATAACTTTGCATAGATTTCGTTTATTTGTTTTATTTTTCTTTTACAAAGAAGGTGTAACGAATCTGAAGTAGTGAAAACTGAAAAGCTTGAAAATTGATGACAAATAAATTCATGAAAGAAGATGAAATCATAAATTGTATTGTGTGCTGCAGTACATTACATATCTTCTATTTATAGGCATACATCAACATTAGTTAAGATCTAGATATTATAAAGTCTGAAATAATCTAAACAAATAGAATAAAATAATCCTAACTAATGAGATCTTTGACTAATTTTATCAGGCCCCCGCAAGCTCATGGGCGGAACAACAATAAACTTGTCCCGAAGTTGAAGAAAAGTCTTCGTAGGTAGAGCTTTGGTCATAATATCAGAAATTTGGGCAGTGGACGGAACATGCTGAATAGTAAGAGCTTTTTGACTAACCAAATCACGAACAACGTGAATGTCAATCTCAATATCTTTGGTGCGTGCATGAGATACTGGATCAGCAGCAAGGTAAATAGCTCTTAAATTATCACACCAAAGAGTAGGAGGTAATGAAGACAAACCAAGCTCACGGAGGAGAGAAGAAAGCCAACATAATTCAGCTGGCATCAAGAGCAAGACTGCGATACTCAGCTTCGGTACTTGAATGAGCAACAGTCGGTTGTTTCTTAGCACTCCAAGAGATGAGATTAGAACCCAAAAAAATGCAATAGCTGGAAGTGGAGCAGCGGTCATCAGGGCAACCAGCCCAATCAGCATCAGCAAAAGCAGTAATTGAAAGAGGGGAGCTCTTTGTAAGATGTAGGCCATGGGTAGGGGTAGAACGTAGGTAACGAACTATACGCTTAACAGCTGACTAATGAACATCAGCGGGACAATGGAGGAATTGAGACACTTTATTAACAAGAAATTGGATATCAGGATGAGTGACACAAAGATATTGAAGAGCACCAACAGTACGCCGATACTCTATAGGGTCAGATAAAGGTACACCATTATTTTTAGAGAGAGGCAATGTGGGGGTTATGGGGGTAGAGACGGGTTTGGACGTGTCGAAGTGAGTGCGAGTGAGGAGATCTTGAATATACTTAGATTGAGAAAGAAGAAGGCCAGTGGATGTTGATTGAGCTTCAATACCCAGAAAATAATGAAGAGAACCAAGATCTTTGATGGTGAAGGTAGAATGAAGCTCATCAATGAGAGATTGAATGAAGGAAGAAGAGGAACCAGTCACCAAGATGTCATCCACATAAATTAGGACAAAAGTAGTGTGTGAGGACTTAGACAAGATAAAAAGAGAAGTGTCAGATTTAGAGGAAATAAAACCAAGAGTTTGAAGTTTCTGACTAAGATGGTGAAACCAGGCTCTAGGAGCTTGTTTGAGACCATATAAAGCTTTGTGAAGACGACAAACATGATATGGATATTTTGGATCAACAAAGTCTGATGGTTGACTTATATATACGTCCTCATGAAGATTACCATGGAGAAAGGCATTGTTCACATCAAGTTGATGGATTGGCCAATTTCGATTAAGAGCAATGGTGATGACAATGCGAATGGTAGTGGGTTTGATTACCGGGCTGAAAGTATCTGTGTAATCTATGCCAGGAGATTGATGGTAGCCTTCAGCTACTAAACGAGCTTTATAGCGCTCAAGAGTCCCATCGGATTTTCTTTTAGTTCAAAAAATCCACTTGCAACCCACAATATTAGCATTAGGAGGAGGAGAAACTAGAGTCCTGGTTTGATACTGTTGAAGAACATTAAACTCTTCAAGCATATCTTGAGGCTGGTGAGGAAATTTATTGGCCTGAGTAAAAGAGGTGGGTCAGGTTATAAGGACAAGTAAGAGAGGAAGTATAGGTAACATAATCATTTAAACGGTTAGGCTTACGAGTTGTGGTACGAGTAGTCATGTGATGTCTTGGTGGTAGAGGTGGTCTAGGCGGGGAACTAGATGGTGGTGGAGGTGGTCTAGGCGGGGAATTAGATGGTGGTGGAGAAGAAAGCCTTGTTGAAGAAAGAGTTTGTGTCGTAAGATTGGAAAAAGGTACAAAAGGAGGAGGAATAGACATTGGTGAAGGAAGCAATACCCGTGATGATGGAGTTGGAGAGGACGTAGAAGTTTGAGACGTAGCATAAGGAAAATCAGTTTCAAGAAACCTTACATGTCGGGAGATGTAAAGTTTGGAACTTTTGGGATCAAAGCAACGATATCCCTTGTGTTGGGAAGAGTAGCCTAAAAAGACACAAGGAATTCATTTTAGGGATAATTTGTCAGCACGAGTAGACCTAAGAAATGGGAAGCAAGTGCACCCAAATACTCAAAGGTGAGAGAGGGAGGGAGGATTGGAAAAAAGAACCTCATAAGGAGATTTATTAGTAAGAACTTGAGTAGGAAGGAGATTGATTAGATAGGTGGCAGTGGAAAAAGCTTCAACCCAAAAGGATTTGGGAAGAGAAGCATGACGAAGAAGAGTAAGCCCGGTTTCAGTGATATGACGAATTTTTCTTTCAGAAACTCCATTTTGTTGAGGAGTATGGGGACAAGAGATGCGATAAGAAATACCATGGTTACGAAGATAATTAGCAAAAATACCTTTTCACAAGTTCGGGAGCACCATCACATTGAAGATATTTGATACTAGTAGAAAATAAATTTTCAGTAAATGACTTAAAATTTTGGAAAGCATGAAAGGCATTAGCTTATTAGTAAGTGGATAAATTCATGTAAAACGACTAAAGTTATCAATAAAAATAATAAAATACCAGTACCCTGAAAGAGAGAGACAAGGACTTGGACCCCAAATATCACAATGAATTAAACGTAACGGTACTTTAGAAACACGAGAAGATGGAGTAAAAGGAATTTGAGTACTTTTGCATTGCAAACAGGTACAAAAATTTATTTTGGAAGATTTAAATGACAAAGATCGAGCTAAAGATGAAAGAGTTGAGTGACACGGATGTCCTAGACGGTGATGCCAAAGATCAGATGGAACAGCACGAGCAGCCAGAGCTATAGGATTGTGGAATGTATTAGGAATCTTCATAGGATAGAGGTAATTGTGGATGTTACCCACGAGAAGCGGAGTCTTGGTGATTAGATCATTCACAACATAACCAAAAGGAGAAAATTCCATTAAACATGAATTATCAGTGACAAATTCTCCAACAGATAAAAGGTTTGTAGTAAGCTAGGGAACAATGTAAACATTACGTAAATAAAGAGGTTTTGGGTGTTTGGTAAGTGCAGTGTGACCAATAGAAGTAATAGGAACAGTAGTACCATTGCCAACAACCACTTGTTGATTACCATGATATGGAGTGGTAGAATCCACTAAAAGAGGATCAGGTGCCATATGAGCCTGGGCGCAATAATCAGGAAGCCATTCAGGGATGCCACTAGATGTAAAGGATGAAAAGCCTTGAGGCGGGGTTCTTGGACAATGAAGGTGTGAAAAGCAGTGGGCATGTTTGTGGGAGCAAAAGAACGATGAGTTTGAGTATTGCGAGATTCAGCATAGCGGAAATGACAAACAGCAACGGAATGGTTGAAGTTTTTGCAGATTTGGCATTGGGTAGGATTGGGTTGTTGGGTAAAGTTGGGGTAAGGGCTAAAGGATGAGGTATAAGGCTTATAGGGAAAGTAGGGAGCGAGTTGACCACGACCACGGCCTGAATTGTGTTGTGACTGTTTACCACGAGACTGAAAACTATTGACTAGAAAGTTCACAGTAGTTTAGAGTGCAGCTTCTGGTGAAGGCAAAAATAATTGCAAACGTTGCTCATGGAGAAGCAGTTTTGCTCGAAGTTCTGTGAATGAGGGAGGAGGGTTGAGATTCTCTATAGTGGTGATGAAGGAAGTATATTCAGATGAGAGACCATTAAGAGCGAGAATAACAAGGTCATGATCACGGATAGTATTCCCAACAGCAGAAAGCTCTTCCGCCTTAGTTGATAATGAAGTGAGAAAATCATTGACTGTGAGAGAACCTTTCTTAAAATTATGAATTTTTTGGCGTAGTTGCGATCTACGCGCTATAGATTGTTGAAGAAAATGATGCTCGAGTTTGATACAAAGGTCACAAGCAGTAGGACACCCCAATGCCACCGATGCCATTGAAGAAGACAAGGAGGCAGTGAGATAACATTTGACAAGGCGATCAAGTTATTGCCATTGAAGAAATTCTTTTGGAATAGTAGAATCAGGTGAAGAGTCTTTTGCTGGTAAAATTGAACCATCGATATAACCATTGAGATCAGTGGTAATTAAAATTCCTTCAACTTGATCTCTCCAAATTAGATAGTTGGAGTTATCAAGAGATACAGTGATAAAATTTGTGATATTAGAGGGAGGAAATGATTGAGTAGTAGTGAGTGATTGTGAAATAGTCATTTTAAAACAATGGTGATTAAAGTAAAAGAAAAGGAAAAAAAAATAAAATAAAATAACATGTAGTAGTATGTGAAATAGTGTGTGTAATAGTGATTTTTGGAGGTAATCAGTGGTGGGATAATGTGAAGAAAAAAAATTTTAGTGCAGGATCGATTTTACTCTCGATACCATGATGACAAATAAATTCATGAAAGAAGATGAAATCAAAAATTGTATTGTGTGATGCAGTACATTACATTGCTTCTATTTATAGGCATACATCAATATTAGTTAAGATCTAAATATTATAAAATCTGAAATAATTTAAACAAATAGAATATAAATAATCCTAACTAATGAGATCTTTGACTAATCTTATAAAAAAACTTTTTATCTCAGGACTAGGGAGAGATTGATCCCAACAAAATTACAACGGAAGATGAATGGATTGATCAAATAAACATAGCTAGCTAGGGGTTGGAGATGGACAAAACCTGTAAAACTGTTGTTTGAATATACTCATTTCTATGTTCTTCAAGCTAACCCACAATTCAACAGCACTACCATCGGCAGAATCCATCAAACAAAGTCCTGGAGCAGGTTGACTAGAAACACTGGCCCAAATCGGCTTTCCCCATCCGAAATCAATCTCATAAACCGGTAATGCCCCAAACCAGCTCGAACAATAGTAAACATCTAAGCCAATATCATGAGTACTTCTATCTTCTTTTTTATTATCAAAACCGTCCATTAATATCCCTTTCCTCGAGTTAATAAGCATTGTGGCCAACTCATCTTTGCTTGCTATAGCCACCTTTGCATGAGTATCCGCAATCATACTGCTCAACAAATGGATCAGATCACATAACTTCACATCTTCATTATTATCCTCACCCACAAAGGGAACAATAGTCGATATGTAAAAATTCCCAAACACTAATTTGTTGTTCTCTGCCCCAACTAAGGGCGTTTTCCCTCGCAAGCTGGTTGCAATGGAAAGCGCCGAGCCCTTCAGGTATCCTTTTTTCGCCACCAACATCGCCATTAGGCTCTTCCATACTATAGCTAGCGCAACAACCACTCTAGACGGCAACTTTGCCGCTGCATAACTCGCGGCGACCTCGCCTTTGATTTTCATCACCAGTTCCAACGGAATCAGGAATCTCCTGGTGACGATCTTATCCTGGTCAGAGGATCCGTCGCCACGTGAGGACCTCGTGATGATTCTTGGGTGTTTGAGCTCGAATGACGGTGTCGCCGGGAAAACACAAGCGATCTCGTGACAGAAACCGTGACTCGAACCATTATGGTTATCCAAACCGGGTCTTGCGGCGCAGGCGGCTGCCCATTTTCGCATTAGTAACGATCCCGTGGTAGCGTCAGCAATAATATGTGAAATACGGACTGCCACCATGATTCCTCCGTCATCAAAAGAGCTCACCTGGATTGCCAGCTGCGGACTGGAAGGCAAATCCACAGCCGGCGGATGAATCCCCCACGGCAAAAGCTCGTCGACGGCCTCGATCTCCTGGTAACAAATCGGAAGGAATTCCGACAGCTTGCAGCTCACACGGGCTAGCCAGAACTCGGCTCCTTGGTCACTACAATCGATGGCAACTTCATCTCTTACGTATCTTCCGGCAAGTTGGTAAAGATCCACCAATGCGTCGGCCAAGCTTTTCTCCAATCGTTCGCACCTTTGAGCAGTAATACTACAATTATCATTGGTATCGCCGGAGTAGTAGAAAAAGCTGTCGACGTATACTTTTGGAGCAACTTGATCAAACAAAGAGAGGTTGACTTTGTGGAGATGTTTTGGAGTTGGTTTGGATGGTTTGATGAGCTTCTTGGTTATAATTTCAATCTTTAGGCTCCCCATGATCTCTTTCAATAAGTACTTTTTTTAGATGGGGGGTGGAGGGTTTGATCAAGAAGAAGAAAGTTACAATGGATCTGAACAGAAATCAAGAAGAAAGTTCAAGGTTGCAAAAGCTAGTCGCTTAGGGGGATTTTATAATGTTGAAGTAAGTGTGATGAAATAAGTTTACTGATCAAGTGAAAGATAATGTACAATATTTTTGGGGATTGGACACATGGAGTATTATAATATTCTTTTTTGAGGAAATGACACTCATTGTGAAAAATAATAAAATAAAAAGTTGTAACTTGAGTGTGTACAGGAGCATTTTTTAAGTATAAGTCGTACTATAACTCCTACTTCAATTTTTAAGCATAATTAGTCGTATTATAACTCCTACTTCATGTGTACAGGAGTATATGAATACATACCACTGACTATTTTACCTTCGTTATTATTTTCGGATATCCCACATGATGGGGTCCAGCCCCATAAAGCCGCACGCGTGAATAGAGTTTGCAGGCTAGGAGCTGAAATTTTTTGATTTTGCAGGTTTGCATTAAATTTGGACGGAGAAGTGAACACCAATTTTGGCAGTAAAATTTGACAACCAAATTCATGTGTGGTTTCATTGTTTCGTCATAGCATAAAGAAGTAATTTTGTTTGCACATTGGAGAATTTGTCAATAAAAGGCCAGTGCTTCTTCATTTGCGAAAGGACAAGCAGAGAACGGGAAAACAAAATAGAGAGAAAAACTTCTCTAAAGTGTAGTGAGTTTTTCTTTGAGTGAATATTTTGCATTCTCAGAATCTCATCCAGAGAGAGGTGTGAGGCAGATAGAGTGGTAAAATTGAGTGTTCTAGAATTGTGATCATATTCCAGGGGATGGGAAATTTGAGTGATAGTAATAATTTCTCCATACACTTATAGTGATAATTTTACCAGCTCGGTCCCGTGGTTTTTTTCCCTCTAATTATTTAGGGAGTTTTCACGTAAATCTCGGTGTCCCTTATTTATTTATGGCATTTAAGGTAATTAGTCAGTTTTTACTGTAGTTATTATTCTGGTGAAATAGATCGTTGCGGGTAAAAGTGGTATTCGTAATTTATTATTTATCGGTAATTTTATTTTACTTTTACCATCGCTATTCTCACTATGGGGGCTCACCTGGGATTGGTGGTTTAATCCCAACAACTGGTATCAGAGCTCTCGGCATGGGTAACCTTAGGGCAATGATCAAGTTAACGGATTCAAATTATTCAATGTGGAAATCCAGAATGGAGGATTACCTTTAATGTAAAGATTTCTATGATCCAATTGAAGGTGATGGTGCTAAGCCAGAAGATATGATCGAGAAGCAGTGGGACAAATTAAAGAAGCAGACATGGATATATGCTAGCCTATACAACCACGTCAAGAAGGAAATAGATCCCCATGTTCTTGGGAAGAAATTAGAAGGCATATACGAGGCTACGACTGCTCAAGGAAAAGTCTTCATGACTCGTAAAGTCATGCACTTGAAGCTATCAGAGGGACGATTAGTTTCACAACACCTGAACGACTTTGAAGGACTCGTGATTGAGTTAGTGGTTGTTGGTATGACTTTGGATGACGAGATGCAATCGTGCCTACTGTTAGGATCTCTGTCGGATTGTTAGGATACTCTTGTTGTATCGGTGAGCAACTCAGCTCCAAATCTTGTAGTGACAATGCCTATGGTGAAAAATAGACTGCTCAAGGAAGAAATGCGGAGAAGAGACATTGCCAGTATCAGTTCACAAGCCCTTGTTACGAAGAATAGGGGTCGGAGCAAGAGTAGAGGTCGAGGTCATGGAAAGTTCAGGGAAAGATCCAAGTCCAGGGAAAAGAGACGGTGTGATCATTGCGGTAAAAAAGGCCATCTCAAAAGGAATGGCAACCTTCTCAAGCAGGAGAGAGGGGATCGAAATCAGGATGATGACATAAACAAATATGTTATAGCATTGACGGAAGACGGTGAGGTAACTTTTGTTTCTAATGATGTAGATTGTTGTCATGTTACAAATGCAGATACCGAGTGGATTGTAGACTCAGGTGTTTCATACCACTGTGTTCCCAAAAGAGAATACTTATTCATTTATAAAGCAGGAAACTTTGGCACTATTTGAATGGAAAATCATAGTGTCTCGCAAATAGTGGGGATCGGTGACATCTGCGTGAAGACTAGCATCGGGAGCACATTAACACTAAAAGATGTGCGGCATATTCCCGATTTATGGTTGAACCTGATTTCTATAAGTATACTGGACAAGGAAGTATATCACCATCATAGTGGTGATGGAAACTGGAAACTCACCAAAGGATCAAAGGTGATGGCAAGAGGAAGATTATGTTGCTCGCTATACAAGAGGCATGCGGTGATCTATGCGGGTCAACTAAATGTAGTTGTGGATGATGCTTCAACAAATTTGTGGCACAAGCGGCTGGCACATGTTAGTGAGACAGGGTTAAATGTATTGGCAAAGAAGTCCTTCATAGCACTAGCCAAAGGTAAAACAGAACCTTGCGATTATTGTTTATCTGGGAAGCAACATCGTATTTCGTTTCAGAGGAGCTGGAGATGGAGAGAAAACAAGTTGGAGTTGGTGCACTCTGACATATGTGGTCCCACGGAATCTCTGGGAGGTAAAAAATACTTTCTTACCTTTATAGATGATTTCTCACGGAAAACATAAATATACATCTTGCGCATGAAGGACCGGGTATTCCAATATTTTCAGAAGTTCCATGCAATGATGGAGAGGGAGACCGGAATGCCGCTGAAGTGCCTTCACACTGACAATGGTGGTCAATATATCTCTCGGGAGTTCAGAGATTATTGTACCAAGCACGGTATTAGGCATGAGAAGAGAGTTCCTGGTATGCCTCAGCATAATGGCATTCCTGAGAGGATGAATCGCACCATTGTTAAGGGAGTCAAATCCATGCTCAAGATTGCTAGTCTACCTAAGGCATTTTGGGGAGAAGCTGTTGGTACTGTTGTCTACCTAATCAACTGACTACCTTCAGTGCCTTTGGATTTTGATGTTCCTGAGAAAGTCTTGACATGTAGGGACATTTTATACTTTCACCTGAGGGTATTTGGCTTCAAGGCGTTCTTGCATGTTCCAAAGGAGCAAAGGTCAAAGCTTGATGACAAATTGGTGACTTGTATATTTGTTGGTCATGGAGATGAGGAGTTCAGATATAGGTTATGGGATCTAGTGAAGAAGAAAGTTGTCCGAAGCCGAGACATTGTGTTCCACGAGGATGAGATCGTGGGTGGTACAACTATGGATGGTACAAGTTCCACAAGTGGCGGTGTTACACCGGAGAGCATTCCAACATATGGTGCCACCGGAGGAGGAATGCTAGAATTAGAACAGAAAGAGGAAGAGCTAGCCGAGAGGGATCAAGAGTCTACCATAGATAATGATACAAAGGGTGCTGAGCCAGAGGAGCCATAGAACCCCATTCTACCAGAAGGAGTTGAATCTCAGTTAAGGAGGTCAACCAGAGAATGCCGACCATCTATGAGGAATCCTAGTTCTGATTATATTTTAATTACTGATGAGGGGGAGCCAGAGAGCTTCCACAATGTGAATTCTTCTAGAGATAAAGGTTGTTGGAAGAAGGCCATGCAAGAGGAGATGAATTCTCTGAAGAAGAATGACACGTACGAGCTGGTGAAACTTCCAAAAGGGAAGAAAACAGTCAACAACAAATGGGTGTACAAGCTGAAGAAAGATGATGGCAACCTAGTGACATACAAAGCTCGATTGGCCTCAGAAGAAAGGTATTGACTTTGACGAGATTTTCTCACTAGTCGTGAAAATGAGTTCTATTCGAGTTGTGCTAGGTCTTGTAGCCAGCTTGAATCTTGAGTTGGAGCAGCTCGATGTAAAGACCGCATTCTTGCATAGAGATTTAGAAGAAGAGATCTCTATGGAACAACCAGAAAGATTTACGGTCAAGGGGAAGGAGGACATGGTTTGTCACTTGAAGAAGAGCTTGTACGGGTTGAAACAAGCCCCGCGACAATGGTATAAGAAGTTTGATTCTTTCATGGTGAATCAAAAATACAGAAAGATGGATGCAGATCCTTGTGTATATGTCCAGAGATACCCTGACGGTAAATTTATCATCCTTCTCTTATATGTTGATGATATGCTAATCGTTGGATCAGATGCAGAAATTATTAGTAGGTTGAAGAGAGATTTGTCAAAGGTTTTTGACATGAAGGATTAGGGATCGACAAGGCGTATTCTCAGGATGGAGATTATCTAAGATCAGAAGTCTTGCATGTTGTGGTTATCATAGGAGAAATATGTTGAACGAGTTCTAGAGAGGTTCAATATGAAGAATACTAAACACGTTAGCACTTCACTTGCCGCTCACTTCAAGTTGAGTAAGAAATCCTACCTATTAATGGAGGAAGACAGAGAAGATATGTCAAATGTTCCATATTCTTCAACGGTCGGAAATTGGATGTACGCAATGATGTGTACGAGACCCGATATCCCTCATGCAGTTGGCATTTTGAGCTGATTTCTGTCAAATCCCCAGAAGACACATTGGTAAGCAGTGAAGTGGATCTTCAGATACCTGAGAGGAACCTCTAAACTATGTCTAACTTTTGGAGGGAACAAGCGGTGCACTTGTTGGCTACACAAATGCAGATATGGCTGGTGATCTTGATGAAAGAAAGTCTACATCAGGTTATCTGTTTATATTTTCAGGGAGAGCTATCTCATGGCATTCGAGATTATAGAAATGTGTTTCATTATCAACTGCTGAAGCAGAGGACATTGCAACAACGGAAGCAGGGAAGGAAATGCTTTGATTGGAGAGATTCTTTCTAGAATTGGGTGTGCAGTAAGAGGAATACATAGTCTATTGCGATAGTCAAACTGGTTTAGACTTGAGCAAGAACACTATGTATCATGCACGGACATATCATTGGCTTAGACTTGCCGTAGAAGAGAAAGCGTTTCAATTGCAGAAGATTCCCACTGATGAGAATGCTGCTGACATGTTGACAAAAGTCGAAGTTTGAGTTATGTGTCGGACTTGCTGGGATGGGCTCGCGATGAGAGCCGGTTGAAGACCGCCTCCTGTTTGTGACGGTTGGGGCTGGAGGGGGGAGATTTGATGTTGTCCAGCCCCATAAATGTCCAGCTGCACGCATGAAAAGAGTTTGCAGGCTAGGAGTTGAAATTTTTTGACCAAATTTGATTTTGCAGGATTGCATTAAATTTGGGCGGAGAAGTGAACACCAATTTTGGCAACAAAAATTTGACAACCAAATTCATGCGTGGTTTCATTGTTCTGTTATTGCATACGGAAGGAATTTTGTTTGCACATTGGAAAATTTGTCTATAAAAGGCCAGTGCTTCTTCATTTGCAAATGGACAAGCAGAGAACGGGAACACAAAATAGAGAGAATAACTTCTCTAGAGTGTAGTGAGCTTTTTCTTTGAGTGAATATTTTTTGTTCTCTCTATCACAACCACAGAGAGGTGTGAGGTAGATAGAGTGGTATAATTAAGTGTCCTAGAATCATGATCATATTCTAGGGGGTGGGAAATTTGAGTGATTGTAATAATATCTCCATACACTTATAGTGATAATTTTGCCAGTTCGGTCCCGTGGTTTTTCTCTCTAATTATTTGGGGGTTTCCACGTAAATCTTGGTGTCCCTTATTTAATTCTAGTATTTATGGTAATTAGTCAGTTTTTACCGTAGTTATTATTCTGGTGAAATTGATGGTTGAGGGTAAAAGTGGTAGTTGTAATATATATTTATCGGCGCTATTAAGTTTTATCATAGGTAATTTTATTTTACTTTTACCATCGCCATTCCAACTGTGGGGGCTGACCTGGGATTGGAGGTTTAATCCCAACACCCCATTCCATGAGAATATTTATAGACCTTGAAACAACTGCAATTGAAATGTTTTTTAAATTTTCTAAATATTGATCGTCGGCAAAACAGGTGCTCTTTCACATTTGGAGCAGCCAGTTACAGGAATAATGTAGTGTATTTTTAATTCTTTAAGAACAAAGGATTATTTAATGATTACAGCTCAAAAGGCATCATCCCACTCTCCACAACTCTTGTCTTACTCCAAATACAAATTAAATTCTGTCATTTTTTTTATAAAATATGAGTGCTATAATTTTTTTAAATTGGATGTGTACAAGTTGGGATTCATGGGTGTTGTTATATATATCCCAATCACTCCATGTCTCATAATCTCACAAGTCTTTTTTTAAAAAAATAAATGGAGGATAACGTTCAGGTTCCAATTAGCTCTAGCAAACTTAAGGGGTCTATCCAAGAGGTATGTTTTGAGCCAACCAATGCTAGATAGTACAATGCACCCAAAGGATATATCCAAGGGATAGACATATATACTATCTAGTTCCCTAGTTTCATCCTTCCCTTAATTTTATTAGATTGAAGAAAAACAAAGGCAAGGGAATAGTATACTTATACCCTTGCTGATTACAACAAGCAGCTATTTCAATCTAACTCGCAAGTAAGGAAAAGATGTTTGGTCTAAAAGTACAAGACCCCTAACATGTCTAGGTCATCCTTCTAAACCATTGTATGATTTTGAGTTGCCAAGCGATGCCAAACCTTCCAAGCTATCGACCACCGCATTGCTTCCCTGTATATGTGTGATATCCTGTAAGACCACCTATCCATAACCAAGCGAATCTCCACAATCTGAGAATAAAATTTCCAAGGAATCGACTTCATAGAAACTAGCAATTCCTCCAATGCCTTATTGTCCGTTTGAATGTCCACCATCTCTAGACATAGCTGCCAACATTTTCTGACCCCAAACAAAAGACCAAACACTTCAGCTCCAAAGTTGTCCCCACCTCCAAGATAACCATTCTCGCCATACAACAAAATCACCATCATGCTTCCGAATCACAACTCCATACCCTGAGTCCGCATTTACCAAAGAGCCGTAAGTATTAAGTACATACCCTTCTGCGCGAGCTGCCATCCATTTGACTATAGTACAATGATGCTTCTTTAGTCGCTTCAATTTAAATCCAAAAGCCTGCTCAACAAAAGTTCCTCTCCTCCTTACCAGCTTTCCAAGTCATGAACAAACAAAACATTCCGGACTTCTTTCTCAATTTCTAATATTGCCCTTCTCGAGTCAAAACTCACACCATCAAAACAAACCCTATTCCTATACTTCCAGACCTCTCATAAAATGAAGGATGGAAGTACATTAAGTAGGGTCTTTTTCACGGTTTCAAAACCGCCCTTATTCCACCATGTTAGCAAAACTTCCAATAGAGTTTCATCATTAACAAATGGAATTTAAAAAACTTGCGGAAAATATTCCCAAATCACCTTAACCTCCATACAGCCAAAAAAACAATGATACATATTGTCTTCATGCATTTTACAAAACAAATGCATGGAAGGCCTGACATGAATACCAAAACGACATCGTATTTCCAGAAAAGGTACCAAAAACTTGTCCCGAAGCCTTATGCCAAAATTTTCTCGCCAAAAGATTCTCCAAATGCCTTCGTCGCAATCTGAAGTTGGCTAACTTAATGGTGAATTCACCCGAAGCAGTACACTGCCCAACCAACTTATCCCGTTCATCATTCAAAATCAAATCCATATGTGTCAATTTTTGCCTTACAATTGGACTCAAAGATCGCTGCAAGGCAGACAACAACGTAATCTTATTAGAAAAGAATTCATTAATTGTCAAGTTAGGCATTATCGGAGACTCATGAAGAGACTCCCAAATCACACCATCCGGTGCCCAATTATCAAACCAAAAAGATCTATCTCCTCCTTGAACCTTTGTTTGTCGAATTGCCTCATAATCCACTGATTTAATTTGAATCCAAGTGGCTTTCCGCTTGGCAGCCTCTGAAAGAGATAAAACAAATTTACTCCACAACCCTTGTTGTTGTTTTACCTTCCACCAAAGCTTACACGAAAAAGGCCTTCACCACATCTTGAAACTGACGCAAACCTAACCCATTTTCTGAAGTAGGGAATTTAAACGATCTCATGACCTCCAGAGCTCGCGCCTCTCTCCATTTGAGCCTTGCCAAAGAAACCATTGATACCTTTTCTCCATTTGCTTGAGAACTGAGATAAGAGGACAAATAGCTGAAAATACATGTAGCGGATAGCCTACAAAACATGCCTTAGGAGAATAAGCCTTCCTCCTGGGCTTAAGAATCTATTTCCAGCTTACCAACTTCGCATCAAGTGAATCCTGTAAAAACTAAAGAGTAGAAGCTCGTTTCCTTCCTTGAAACAACTTACAACCCAAATAAATAAAAGGAAAAGAGCCCTTATCCATTTCCAAAGTGCCCTTAATGATATCCACCCTTTGTGCGCGACAAGACTCCGCCACAAGGAAGAAGCTCTTCTGTCTATTCATTTTTTGACCTGACGCTACCTCATAATTATCAAAGAAGGCATTCAGCATCCTAAACGATCTTTTAGGCCTTGTGAAAATTATTAAATCATCCGCAAAGCAAAGGTGCGAAACCGATAAATAACCTGCAGGAGTACCACAAGTTGCCAATTTCCCAGCTTGAACGAAATACTTTAGACGTCTTGACATCGCCTCAGCTACTAAAATGAATAGATATGGCGAAAGCGGATCTCCTTGCTTAATGCCACGGGATGACTTAAAGAAGCTAGTTAGAGAGCCATTTACCATCACCGAGAACCAACTACCTTGCAAATTATTCATAACCAACAAAACAAAAGCCGGCGGAAACCCTAACTTTGGCATCACTTTTTCCAAAAAATTCCAAGAGACTCTGTCAAACGCTTTCATCATGTTAACCTTTATAACCACATTATTACCAACCGCCTTGCGAGTAATAAATTGCCGAAGGTCGTGCGCGAAGACAACATTATCAATAATATCACAGCCCTCCAGAAAAGCAGATTGTTCCTAAGAGATAATCTTTGGCAATACCTTCTTTATACGTTTCGTTAATACCTTAGTAAAAAGATTATTGAGGAAATTACATAGGCTTATTGGACGGAAGTCTGAAAAAGTGACAAATGTAGGCTTCTTTGGGATTAAAGCTATCAACGTACTAGCAATAGCTCTTGGTATTGATACTCCACACATAAATTCCTTGCAAGCTCCCATTAAGTCATCCGCAATGATCTTTTAATAGGACCTATAGAAAGATCCACCAAAACCATCTACTCCCGGAGCACTATCTTCACCAAGGGCAAAGACCTCATGTTTCACTTCATCCATTGTCACCATGCCAACAAGCATTTCCTTCTCACTCAGCCCTAGCTCATCATGAAGGTGCTGCAAAAATAATCCCCTATTATTCCTCTAGATGATGTGACTCTTCTTCAACACTCAATAAATTCTGGAAAAAAGTAACTGCTTCACATTCAATATCCTTCATCTCTATCAAACTTCTACCATCCTCAGTTTGGATTTTTTGAATACCCATCTCACTCTTTTTTCCGCCAAAGTTGCATGAAAATAAGAAGAGTTTGAGTCCCCTTCCTTCAGCCACTTCAAATGCTTCTTCGGATCCTCATGTTCCTTTAACTTTTGCAACAAGTGAGCATTAGCCATATTAAGATTAATTCTATCCACCAACTAACCAGAATGATCAAAAACGATTTCCATATCGTGCACCCTATCATCCGCCAACTTCAGATTCTTGAAAACATCACCAAAGGGCTCCTTATTCAATTCTTTGAGCTTCATTTTCAATCTTCGAAGCTTTGTTGAAAAGGCAAGCATTCCAAATCCTCTGACCGGCTGAGACCAACTCTCTTGGACTACATCTTTAAACTCAGCTCTTCTAAGCCACATTTGTTGAAACCGAAACAACTTAGGCTTACTTGCAAGCTGAGTATCAAATTGAAGAAAAAGCGGACAATGATCCGACGTTGTTCGGCTTAGATGTTCAACCGAAACTTTAGGAAAAATGTTCAACCACTCGTTAGTAAACAGAATACGATCCAATCTCTTACTGTTTCGCCCGTTCCTCCTTCTTCTTCCGGCCACGCTTCTTTTTAACAGAATGTTCCCCTTGCTCATTTTCAGATATTATCACATCATCCTTTTCACCTTCTGACCATCGGCCTCCATCCTCTTGGTCTTCATTATCATCTTGACTGTCCACTATGAATGAGTCATCCGGGAACTTACCAACCACCGGCGGCAACATACTCGCAAAACAGCATCAGTCATCAAATCATTAGAAGGAATAGCAGACTTGTCCACTGCAGTTATCTCTTCTGGAACTGATTCCTTCATTAGAGCAGTTGGTTGAGCACCTTGAAGTTTGATACCTTCTGTATACACATTCTCGATTTCATCATCCATCTCAACTGTCGCAGGATCACTATCGCACATCTCTTGTAGAGCCGTTAATCGGTTTGCAGTGGGGGCGGGAAGAGAACTCTGCACATTAACTACATCAATTTCGTTTTTATTTCTTTCAGGGGATCGATGCAAATCCACAATAATGGCGTCCTTCTTTGACGCGGATAATCCAGACGTCTAACCCTGTAGTCGCGCATCAACGGTTTTCGCAGGCCACTAAAAATTCCTCGCAGCTACGGTTTTTGTAGGCTGTTTCGGATCATGCGATCTGGGCTGATTCAAGTCAACACCTTTCGCTGTCAGAGGAGCAATAGAGATAATCTCCACTCCAAAGGCTTCCTGATCAGTCTTCTCAGTCCCAACTTTGAAGTTCCATTTGGGCTTAAACTGGCGCGATCTTGATTCCCTTCTTCTTAACAGTAGGCACCACAACGGAGTCGCTACCTTTGTTCTACTGCAAGGGTTTTCCCATCCGATAATCTTCGTTTTTATGACCGATCTTATTGCACTTAACACAATAAGAAGGTACATGTTTAAACATGAATAGTTTTTCATGCTTTCGACTCTTCTTGCCAATTTTAACAGATTTTGGCAAATCGTTGGTGAGGTCCACTTCTACGTAAAAGCGCGCAACCGATGGATGAGTCATGTTCAACGTTGGTGTATCCACCTTCAAAGGTTGTCCCAAAGCAGTGGCCATCGAGAAGATAACCTCAGGATGCATATACTCTATGGAAAGATCATAAAGAGCAACCCATATTGGTAACACTGGTAGATCTTCCTCAAATCAAAATATGGTAGTCCACTTCAACATACTCATTGAAAAGCCCCTGATGTTGCAAAATGTACGTATGCAACACCTTCGATAATCTTCCTCTTCTTCAAACCGTCAAGACATGCCTCGGATTCATCAAACCCAAGGTATACCCACCATTGAAGCCGATTTTCTTGAATTCCTTATGCACCTCCTCCTTTTTTGGTCTCCCATACGTGAATTTTTCCAATCAAACTCAAGCGATAGGGAGCTACTAATTTTTCAAATTCATCATCTTCAAACTCCAAATTCGCAGTTCCGTTGATAAATTTCACTTGCTTAATTAAAGAATCCTTAGCCAATGGGCCATCTAAGTTTTTTTGAAGAAGCTCACAAATGTTTTTGGCGGTTCATGGTGAGCCGCCGTCGGATGAACGCCGGCCATGGAGGCTGATCCACCAATTTGTCGTTGTTGCTAGGGTTTCTCAGTAGAGAGAAAAAGGGTAGCTTCTGCAATTCGATGCTGAGCTCTACTATCTACTTTGACAGAATAAAGATCGCAAAGGGGAAAGTTTTCAATTTGCAATCTTTGAAACTCATTCCGTATGGGCAAAATACCTATTGGCAGAACAACCAATGGGTGATATGAGAAAGAGAGACGCGGAGAAAAAATATAATAATCTCACAAGTCATTACAGCTCACAACTCACATTGTCACAAGTATTTTAACTAATATAATATTCACTAATGCGTACCCCATAATCAATCATTCAAAAACCCTCTTGTGAACATGTCACATAGTCGATAAAAACTATGAAATTAATTACGTCCATTCTTTCGCATATTATGGGTAACTTAGAAGATACGGTCAGACTGCTACGTAGAATTTATCTTTTCATTAATATTATTTGATTCATTAAAGTCACAGAAAGTTACTAAAAATCTTACTTCAAAGGCTATGACTCGTTCCTGCATCGTCATAATTACTTAGTTTCTAGAATCTTTAGATTAGATTTAAAATCCCGTCGAAACTCACTTGAAATGATGAACAGTATTGTAAGCTTACAATTGAAATACCTCAGAACATGGAGAACGCCTCTGGATTTCCATTGCCATGGTGAGATTTCCATCCTATTGGTAAACATTGTAGCTAGCGAGCATTTGGCCTTTTTACTTGGCCACAAGCCATGGCCTCTCTTTTTTTCACCCCCCAATCAAGATATGACAAAACATATATGTTTAAAAAAAAAAAGTTAACGTACTGTTGGAAACCCACAAGAATCACACACACTGCAAAAATGATATATCAATCATAAGGCCTAAACTACTAATTGTTGTAAATTTTTGAGGTGAATGGCAAAATTAATACCCAACAACCCATGCTATTCTTTCCTCCATTTTTGACTTCTAACCTTTAGAATTAAATTGTATCAAAATTTACTAAATTACCATTTTTATTGACTATAAATAGAGGAGGAGATGAAATGTATCAGAGGCACCAAAATCTATATCAAAGGCAAAAAGCTTTCATTCCTTCCCGTATTTTTCTTCAAATGAATTTGTTTTTCTTTCTTTCTTCTTAAATCTTATAAAGTTACATCATAATATCTAAATTATTAGTTAATCCTTATATTAAAGTCTCTAGTAAAGAAGTTATAACTATAATCACTAATGGATCATTGTATCTAGACCCTAGTTTTTGTAATATGTTATCAGCACGACGTCTCTGCAACCCAAAAAGTTATAAAATTTCTTACCCAGTATTTACATTTCATATGGATGGTTATACCTCCTAATTTATATTCAAGTCATTTAATTTCTTGCAATTTATTAAAAGACTTGTCCTAGCTCAAGTTTTATGTTTATAGTGGGATGCTTTAATATATCCCTACGTAAACATTTATATAACTTACATTCTTGTGGGATGACTTCATATATCCCTAATGCATTTATTTTCATATGTTTATTTAGATTTTCATTGTGGAATGTTTTTCTATGTCCCTATATACTATATCTAATCTATGATTGGATGATTGATAAATCCCTACTACAATTCTTTGTGTCTAAAAATTGTTTGTTTTCAATTTAACTGAATGTACAATAAATTTATGTCCTCATTCAATTATTACTTGAGTTGGTTTATTTTGATTTATTTGAATTTTAACAATTATATATGTATGAATATAATTATACTTTTATGTATAAAAATATGTATATGACGGATGTTTTTAACGGATATATTAACGACTATATAACGGTCGAAATCTTAAATTTTCTCTATAAATATGCCATTTCTAAATCTCATTTACAGACCTTCACATATTCTCCTTCTTCCTCTTCTCATTTTCTTTAAAAAAAATGTCTTGGCCCATTTATTTCTTATTTTTATCAATGATTTCAGTATTTATGATAGCTTTGATTTATTTAGATGATAGGGAATTTTATTTGTATTTGCTTTATATATATATTAGATTTTAATTCTGTTTCTTGTTGCTATATTTATATGAAAATTATGAAGTTGAAAGTTTGTATTTTGAATCTCAATAATACATTATATTATTGTTATATTTTATTTGATGGAATGAAATTTTAATTATGTTTCTCATATTTTAGTTGCCAAAGATGTCAAATTTATCAAAGCTCGAATTCGAAGCTCTTAAACACACAGGAACAAACTACCTATCATGCAAAACAGATGTGGAAAGCCATCTGGAATCAAAAGGGCTTTCAGAAACTATACGTCCTGATAATACTGAATCTCCACAAAATAAAGCAATTGCGATTATATTTATTCGCAAACATATTGATGATGGTGTGAAATCTGGTTACATAAATGTCACAGATCCTTTTGTTATTTGGAAGGATCTTAGTGCGAGATTTGATAACAGGAAAGAAATATTGTTAAATATTACTGATGAAGAATGGAGAGCACTTCGATTTCAAAACTTTAAAAAAGTTGATGAATATAATTCAGTAATGTTTAAAATTGTTTCATAGTTGAGATATTGTGGATGTGATGTCGCTGATGCTGAAATGATACAGAAAACTTTATCCACATTTCATGCTGCTAATACCACTGTTGCAACTACCCACAGATTGCTGAAATGTAAGACTTATTGTGATCTATCATATGCACTTCAGTGCGAAGAAAAAGCTCAAGAGCTTCTCATGAAAAATCATCACTCTAGGCCCACAGGTTCAATGGTATTTCCAAAAGCAAATGCTATAAATACTCATGGACCCAAATCATATAATAACCGTGGGCGAGTCCGAGGCCATGGCCGTGGTCGTGGTCGTGGACATGGTTATGGTCGTGGTCGTGGCCAAGAAAGAAATCATGATTCTGTCCATTTTAATGGAAATAATAATCAGAATCAACAACACAAGAAGCCAAAAGTGACCAAACAAATTGTTTAGGAAAAGCCACAGAAAGTGGATAATACATGTTACCATTGTGGTAGCACAGATCATTGGTCACGTGTTTGCCATACGGCACCACATTTGGTTGAGCTCTATCAAGCATCAAAAGGAAAGGGAAAAGAAAAGGAAGTGAATCTCAATGAGCTCTATGATAATGAGAATGTGGAAACACATCTGAATGCTTCCGATTTCACTTATGATTATCCTGATAATTAACACATTCGTTGATGAAATAAATGTATTTGTAATATATGTTTGAAGTTGTATCATCATATTGGATTGTAATGAATTTATGTAAAATATTCATGTTTGATGTTTTTCCTTATGATACTTGTTAATTATTTATTTTTCTATTTTAAATTCTTAAAATGGATCATAGTGGAACTCAACCTAAAACCAGCTTTGGTGATTTTTGTATACCTGACAGTGGCAGTACACATACTATCTTGAAAAATAGAAAGTTTTTCACTGAATTTAAACCAACAAAGACAATTGTGTATACAATATCAGGTCCTGTAGACTTGATTGAAGGAATTGGCAAAGCCAAAATTACATTGCCTCAGGGAACAAAATTTGTGATTGATGAAGCTTTGTTCTCACCAAATTCCAGAAGAAATGTGTTAAGTTTTTATGATATATACCCAAATGGGTATGATACACAATCTATGACAATAGATGGTGTTAAATATTTGAAAATCATTAGATATGAGTCTGGAAAGATTCAAACACTTGAAAGTTTACCGCTCTCTAATGGTTTGCATTATACATACATTGAATCAAACATAACAATGAAATCAAAATCCTTCGATCATTCAATGTTAAATTTATGGCATGAAAGACTAGGCCATCCAGGTTT